AGCGTGGCACCTGGAGGCCAGCAGGAGGGTTTAGGGTTTAGGGTTTAGGGTTGAGGGGTTTAAGGGTTTAGGGTTTAGCGGTTTAAGGGTTTAGGGTTTAGGGGTTTAGGGGTTTAAGGGTGTAGGGGTTTAGGGTTTAGGGCTTTGGGGGTTTAGGGTATAGGGCTTTGGGGGTTTTGGCGCATTCCTCGGCAGCATCCCGCTCAGATGAATACCCAAAACCCAAACCAGAACTAAACCCTAAACCCTAAACCCAAACCAGAAGCCTAAACCGCTAAACCCTACACCCAACACCCGAAGCCATTTCCTGCTTCTTTGCAGCAAGGGGTTTGGGCCTTGTTATCTATGCGTAATCAAGGCGTAGAAGCTCTAAACCTCAAAGCCAAGCCCGAAATCCTAAACACCACTCAGGGTTTAGGGGTTTACGGTTTAGGGGTTTAGGGTTTAGGGGTTTAGGGTTTAGGGTTTAGGGTTTAGAGGTTTAGGGTTTAGGGTTTTTAAGGAAGCAAATCCTGTGCTGTGGTTTTCGCAAGGCCAGAAGCCGCAAGGCACGAACGGCTATGTTGTTTCCCAGGGGAGCTTCGTCACCTTGGCAATCGATGCGCCCAGGCTGCAACAGACGGCCCTGCGAAGTCGTCTTCGGGTTTAGGCTTCAGGCTCTAGCCCTAGACCCTAAACCGTAAACCCCAAAACCTTGCAGGTTTTTTCTTTTTTTTGGGGGGTTTTATGGGTTTAGGATTTACGGCTCTGGGCGTACTGTAGGGCTTCATGTCTTTAGGGATGGGGGTTTCAGGCCGGGTTCAGGATCTGGGTTGGTGTTCTATACTGTTTCCTGAACTCTAAACCCTAAACCGTAACCTCTAAACCCTGAGCTCTAAACCCTAAGCTCTAAACCCTAAACCCTAAACCCTAAACCCTAAACCCAATAAATTCTAAACTCCTCAATCTTAAACCCCAAACCCAATAAATTCTAAACTCCTCAACCCTAAACCCTAAACCCAATGAGTTCTAAACTCTTCAACCCTTCTCTCATGTTCCCTGAACCTCAGAGCCGTGCGGCGAGACTTGGGCCCAGGAGGGAGAAGCTCTCGTCTACCTGGACGGGGAGGCCTCGGAAGCACTTAACGGTTTAGGGGTTTAGGGTTTAGGAGTTTAGGATTTAGGGTTTAGGGTGTGTACTTGGAGGTTCACGGGTAGTTTTAAGTGCGGTTATAAGTAGGGTAACTGTAGTTATAACCCCTATCAGCGGACTTATAACCTGACTCCAAGTAAACCCGTGTAGATCCCATAAAGCTGCTAATCCCTAAACCCTAAACCCTAGACCCTCAACCCTAAACCCTAAACCCTAAACCATGAGACCGGTGTGGATCCCTTAAAGATCCCTTTAAGGAAGGCTCTTACGTTCAGTATCCCTTTTGTACATCCCATAAAGATCCCTTTAAGGAAGGCTCTTAGGTTCAGTATCCCTGTAAGGATCCCTTTAAGGAATCGACTCCCTAAACGCCGTAAGCACCAAGCCCAAAGCCCTAAGCCCTTGCCATCCCTGGCCGCCTCACCCCAAACCCACTGCTCCTAAACCCTTAATATAGGGGCCTTAACAATCAGAATAAGGTTTGGGGGGTATATTATACTACAATTGTAACAAGGAGCCCCCAAAACCTATTCTAATTATAACCCTAAACCCTAAACCCTAATCCCTAAACCCTAAACCCTAAACCCTAAACTACATTAAGCCCTGAATTTCCGATCCACTCCTTTTAGGCCTTGGACCCTTAAAGGCAGCAGCTGCCCAGTTCCAGCAAAGTCAGCAGAGCGTGTCTGTTTAAGCTCCTAAACCCTAAACCCTAAACCCTAAACTCTAAACCCTAAACCGAGCGGCTTTCGGGCTGGGGGTTTAGGGCTGAGAGTGTGCAGTTTAGGGTTGGGGGTTTAGGTTTTCGTGACGGAAGGGTAATGCGTGTCCGTTTTCGAAAGACTTGGTTGCAGTAGCCGCAGTTGTCCTCAAGTGTAATCCTCAAGTAGAAGTAAGAGCCTTCGCGGTGGTGGTGGTGGCGGTGATGGTGGTGCTGTGGTCGTAGTTAGCTGCCGCTAGTAGTATGAGAGGCAGAAGAATGGCGAGTGTGCTGATGAGATCATCGCGGATGCATCCACAGCCAACTCCAAACCCGATCCCATTTTAAAAATACCCCTAAATAACCCCTACAAGCCCCTATCAACCCTAAACCCTAAACCCTATAAGCCCCTGATTAAGCAATGTCAGCTGCCTGTGCAGGTTGTCCACAACTTCGGCAGCGTCAGCCACCAATTCATGTTCGGCAAGGCTTCGGGATCATCTGTTACTATTACTAACCCTAATCTAGGGTTTAGGGTTTAGGGTTTAGAGTTTTAGGCTTTAGGGTTTAGGGTTTAGGGTTTTAGGCTTTAGGGTTTAGGGTTTAGGGTTTTAGGCTTTAGGGTTTAGGGTTTAGGGTTTAGGATATGGGGACCCTAGCCCAAACAATTAAAATAGGGTTTGGGAGTATCTTATACTGTACTCACAATCAGGAACCCCCAAAACCCTATTCTAATTATTAAGGCCAATACATTAAGGGTACACCACGACCGACTATAAATGCTGTTACGGGTGACTAAGTGTCTAGTAGCAAGGTTATCAGGATTACTGCAAGGCTTGCAATACTGGTCTCGCAACGTCTGCAGCCTCCTCACTTGTGTCCTGCTCGTCTTCGTCGCGGTTGTCACCGCCGTCACCATCACCACCATCACCACTGTAGCCCTTTCCAGAATCACCACTATCGTCAAGATCGTCCCTAAACCCAAAACCATCCTCGACCATTGTGGGCTACCAGCTCCTACTGTACTACATGAACAATGGTCTGTACGGGTTTCGTTTCACTGCGTGTGCTACTCTAGCAGGCGGTCGGAAAGGGCATGTCAACACACTTTACAAACAAAAAAAGTATCCTAGATCCTTGAGCCCCTGCGAAACCCTGCTAGCTCCTAAACCCTGGACCCGAAACCAACAACTACAAACCATCCTAGACCCTATCAGCCCCTCCGAAACCCTGCTAGCTAAACCCTATACCCTAAACCCCAAACCCTAAACCCTAATCCCTAATCCCTAAACCCTAATCCAGCACAGGTTTACCTGACGGGTCTCGGCGACTCTGCCAAGATCTCCTGCTACACAGAGGCTCAAAGCCTAGAGTTCTCAAGGGCTTCGGGTTGGGGTTTTAGGGTTTTAGGGTTTTAGGGTTTAGGGTTTAGGGTTTAGGGTTTAGGGTTTAGGGTTTAGGGTAAAGGGTTTAGGGTTGGGGTTTCAGGTTCGGGTTCAGGGGTTAGGATGTTGGGTTCGGGTTTGGTGGATCTGGTCGTCAACATCTTGCGGATCATGAGGGAAAACCCTAAACCCAAACCCCAAACTAAGCCCTAAACCTTGCCCGGTTCCTGGAGCCTTCCGGAAACTGCCTCTTAATGCCCCCCAAAGCCCCGCCTTATGCTGGATATTCAGGCCTTTGCATTTAGGGTTTAGGGCTGAGAAGGATGCAACAGGAGCACTTCAGAATGAGGGTTCCGTTCCTTCGAAAGGCATTTCGAGCAATTTGGGGCAGACGAGTTCGGGTCGTCCTTGTCGATGATGAGCCATGGCGACATCCCCGCCGCGCTTAGTCTGAGTGATGGAACAGTCGAACCTGCAAAGGGTTGTGGCACCGTCGTATCCTGGCATTCAAGATCTGCGACAACCCTAAACCCTAAACCCTAAACCCTAAACCCTAAACCCCTAAACCCTAAACCCTAAACCCTAAACTTGATTGTAACAGCTTCTAGACATGGCTCCGGTGGTGCTGACTTAAAGTTGATGCGAGATGAGATCACCGAACAAACGAGAAATGCTCGGGCGAAAGGATTGAATGCCACTTTGTTCATGAGGGGCATTTGGTGGATCAAAGACAGAAGAGAAAGCTCCGAGCATTGCATGAGGGTCCTTTCCGGTTGTTTTGCATCTGGTTGCGATGGACTTTGTAGCGTTCTAGATTTACGAGACAATATTCTTGACGACGTTTTCGTTGAGGACTGCTTTACGTTACTGGGTGACCATCCTTGGCAGCGAAAACTTTCCCAAACCGTAAACACCACAAATATTCTCGCCACGCCTTGAAAACCGGCGGGCGTACCTTGAGCCCTTTCAGCCCCTGAACACCCTTAACCCTAAACCCTAAACCCACAGCCCCTCGTAGGTTCCCGACGACGAGAGCCAGTGGGACGCAGTTTTCGCCACTTGCCCTCTTCAAAGACGGAGAACTCAGGGATGAGTTCTGGTTAGTGTAGGGTTTAGGGTTTAGGGGTGTAGAAGGCTTCATGATTAGAGTAGGGTTTTGGGGCGCATTCTAGTATAACTATATTAAGGACCCCTCAAAGAATAGTATAAGTAATTATAAAAAAGCTTCCATATTAGGGTGTAGGGTTTATTTCGGGCCCCCTAAGCCCTAAGCCTAAACTGCTTAAGGGGTTACCGAAACCTGAAAGCTTGCGTCTAGAGCTTTTAGAAGCCCTGGGGGGGGGGGGTCGTGAGGACTTCGGATTCAAATGGGTGGTTGTCAAAATTAGGGTCCCTTTTTGGGTACCCCAAGTATTCGGTGCCGTATTATAATAAGGACCCAAAAAGGGACCATAATTTTGACAACCACCCAAATGGGTGGGTTTTGGCGGGGTTTGTAGGTTTTTTTGTCGGATTTTAGAGTCTCAAAGGGTTAATAGGGTTTAGGGTTGAGAGTTTAGGGTTTATAGGG